ACGATCGTGCACGCGGCGCGCGCACACCTAATGGAATGGATATGAGCAACACATCTCGAAGAACAACAGTTACAACGGTGAGTAACCGTCTTTTCCGCATGGTCTCTTTGGCCTCCATCATCCCTTCCTTGGATTCAGGGGACTGGTATGCCGCCCTTGACTTGAAGGACGCGTACTTTCATATAGGAATTACACCCTCCCACAGAAGGTACCTCAGGCTTGTGGTGAGCAACAACCACTACCAGTTCACAGTCCTCCAGTTCGGCCTGTCAGTGGTGCCTCGTGTATTTACCAAGTGCATGGCAGTCATGGCTGCATTCCTACACAGGCGCCAGGTACAGGTACCTCGACGACTGGCTGATCAAGGGCCGCTCCAGGGCTAAAGTGGAGGCACAAGTCGACTTCTTAAGAACGACGTTCGACGAACTGGGCCTTCTCCTGAACAGGGGGAAATCGACTCTGTCCCCTGTTCAGCAGATAGAGTTCATAGGGGCGGTCCTGGACTTGACACAGGTCAGGGCATACCTCCGGGAAGTGAGGTTTCTAGCCCGGAGCAGCATCATTCAAAGTCTTAGGCAGTTTCCCACCACCAAGGAATTGCCTGAAGCTTCTAGGACACATGGCCTCTTGTACCTGTGTGGTGCAACACGCCAGGCTCAGACATCAGCCTCTCCAATCGTGCCTAGCCTCGGTGTGTCAGCCGGCTCGAGACAGTTTGGACAAGGTTGTGACTCCGCCTCGCCTGGTCCTCAACTCCCTCCAGTGGTGGCTCAACCTGCAGGTAGTGTGTGCAGGGATCCCCTTCACCCATCTTCAGCCATCCCTCTCACTAGTGATGGATGTGTCAGCTCTGGGCTGGGAAGCACATCTGGGGGACCTCAGGACACGAGGCTTCTGGTCTCAGGTGGAACTTGCTCTCCACATCAGTCTCAGAGAGCTGAGAGCAGTGCGCCTGGCATGCCAGACTTTCCGAGCCCACTTGACAGGGAGATGTGTATCGGTCATGACAGACAACACCACGGCAATGTTCTATATCCACAAACGGGGGTGTACGCTCCTCTCTCCTGTGCCAGGAAGCCCTCACGCTGTGGGACTTCTGTGTAGCTCATTTGATACACCTGCAAGCGTCGTACCTCCCTGGAGTGCAGAACGAGTTTGTAGACCGTCTCAGCAGGTCCTTTCACAGCCACAAGTGTTCCCTACGCCCGGACGTCGCGAACACCATCTTCCAACGGTGGGGGTTTCCCCAGATGGACCTGTTCGCGACGCAACAGGAAGTGCCAACAGTTTTGCTCCTTCCTGAAACACAGCCTGGGCTCCATCGCAGACATGTTCCTTCTCCCAGGGGGAGGCCCTCTTCTCTACACGTTCCCGCCCATCCCTCTTGTTCACAAGGTGCTCCTCAAGATATGAAGGGAAGAGGCTTCAGTGACATTGATAGCTCCAGCCTGGCCCCACCAACACTGGTACACATCCCTCCTGGAGATGTCCGTGGAAGCCCCAGTTACCTTGCCGCTCCTCCCGGATTTACTAACTCAGGATCCCAGCCGTCTCCAGCACTCGAACCTCGAGTCACCGCACTTCACGGCATGGAAGCTCCATGGCTGAACCCCACAGAGCTCTCCTGCTCAGACCCGGTTAGATAAGTCCTCCTTGGCAGTAGGAAACCCTCCAGCAGGGCTATCTATCTTGCCACATGAAAGAGATTATCATTCTGGTTGGCTCAGCATCCCTCATCCCCGATGCTCGCCTCTATACCACTCATACTGGACTACCTTCTCCATCTCAAGCAGCGGGGACTGTCCATATCGTCAATAAGGGTTCACTTGGCTGCCATCTCTGCCTTCCATTCAGGCTCAGAGGGCCTGTCGGTGTTTGCCAACCTTGTGGTCAGCCGTTTCTTGAAAGGTCTTGACAGGCTATATCCACACGTCTGACAACCAGCCCCAACCTGGGACCTCCATCTCGTCCTTTCCAAATTGATGGGTCTGCCCTTTGAACCACTGGTGACGTTCCCTGCTCTACCTGTCATACAAGGCGGAATTTCTGATAGCGATAACCTCAGCCAGGAGGGTGTCTGAGCTCAAGGCCCTAATGTCAGAGCCCCCTTACACCATGTTCTATAAGGACAAGGTTCAGCTCAGGCCATATCCAGCTTTCCTCCCGAAAGTTGTCTCCCAGTTTCACATCAACCAGGACATCTTCCTCCCAGTGTTTTATTCTAAGCCGCACTCGAGCGGCAGGGAGCAGAGGCTCCACTCATTGGATGTCCACAGAGCGCTAGCCTTCTACATTGAAAGAATGAAATGGTTTAGGAACTGTTTGTGGCCGTGGCAGACAGGATGAAGGGTCTTCCAGTCTCCTCCCAACGAATTTCCTCGTGGATCATGTCCTGCATCCATGAATGATATAACCTGGCAGAGGTGCCTGCCCCTCCACTCTCAGCGCACTCCGCTAGGGTGCAAGTTTCTTCAGCAGCATTCCTGGCGCAAGTCCTGACCTGGGAAATATGCAGAGTGGCGACGTGGTCCTCAATACATACTTTCACCGCGCATTATGCAATTACCCAGCAGGCCAGAGACAATGCAATGTTTGGTAGAGCGGTGCTCCAGTCAGTGGATACCTGAACTCCAACCCCACCTCCTGAATTTAGGCTTGGGAGTCACCTGATTGGAATTGACATGAACAAGCACTCGAAGAAGAAAAACGGCTACTCACCTTCTCGTAACTGTTGTTCTTCGAGATGTTTTGTCCATGTCCATTCCAATACCCACCCCGCTGTTGGGGTAGCCGGCAAGAAGGAACTTAGGGGGTGGTGGGTCGGTAGGGCCCTATATTGTGCGCCATGATGGCGCCACTCCAGGGGCGCCCGGGCCAACCCAACAGATACTGCTGGGGGAAAATGTTCCATCTTCTGTGCACGCACACACACCTGATTGGAATGGACATGAACAATACATCTTGAAGAACAACAGTTACGAGAAGGTGAGTAACCATTTTTTTCCCATGCTTTGATCAATACCATTTTGCTTGTGAGAGCTGACATCATCTGTTTTCTGGTAGTTAGCAATAAAGCAATTTACATTCCTGGTTAATTCTGTCTGTGGGAGCTGGTTTCCCAATATATCTGTTGACGAGTAAGCTTCACAAACTTTTATAAAGTTCCAATCCTTATCTGGTAATTACCCCGCAGCATTCAACAATGTATGTAACAAACTTTTCAAACAGTCTTTCCATTTCGCCTTTGGCCTGGCTGCAAAGCACCATGGGGCTTTGGCTTAGTTTGGTCAATGGTCATGCACTTCATCTCAGGGTTCAACCTGCTCTCAGGGGCACCTGGCTCTGTATTGTTCTCTCCGGGAAGGGAAAGCAAGTCACTTTCTCCAGGTTGTGCAGGGAACGGGGAACAGAGTTGAGGATGGAACCAAAGAGTCCTGATTCCCCATCCCAAGATCGAAGCACAAGGTGCTGTCTCGGCCTGTTGACTGTTCCTGAAGTCTGTCAGCCTCTTGCTCCAGTCATGTTCTTGCTAGTGTGCTCCTCAGACCTGGACTCCGAGGAGAGGAGGTCATTCGTCTTTCCTCTCTGGTGGTGTCCTTCCCCTACACACAGGCCTTATCGCTTCCCCTGCAGCCCTTGGATACCTTTAACATGGACTGTCTCTCTGTGAACCTTGCCCCAGCCCTAAGGCCAGTAGCTAGTGTGCAAGCTGCTTCCCCAGTTTGTGGTTGAATCCCCTTTTCCTTGGCATCCCCTGTCTGCTCTGGGTGTCCCAAGCCCGGGAGCTTGACCCATGTTTCTGCAGTTGACACACACATACCTCCTGCTCTGGAGTCTGAACACCCCACCTCTACAAGGCCTCTGATCCCCTTTTCCCCCAGGTCTCCAGGAATCTCCTGTCCTCCTCTGCAGCTGGCACCACTTACCATGACCAAGTATAGGGCTGACTGGTAACTGGGAGGCAGCAGCAGTGGATTATCCAGGGGCTCTTCTCTCTCTCTAAGGCTGGAGGTGAGGAGCATTCTGGTGAGGTATTAAAATCTCTCCCACACCTCTGCCAGGTTGTGGAATCAGGGGGCTGGGGACATGCTGGTGGGTTCCAAGGTCCCTTTGTGCTGCAGATTTTCTTTGTCAAGTGGAGCTGCCATTCTCTCCATAATTGTTAATTCCTCTCCCCCTCTCTCCACAGAGCCATCAATCCCATCAGGGCTGCCCTCTCTGAAGGCAAACAGCAGCAGGCAGGCTGGGGGCTCTGAAGAGGAACACTCCCATCCTCTGGCTCACCGTTTGCAGTTCATTTCTGGGTTTGTGTTCCAGTTTCTGTCCTCCCTTGGTGTCTGGCTCTGCGTAACAGATAGCAGCAGGCCTGCCATGATGGGGTTCCTCTGAGTCCCCAGGAGTGTGCTTAAGGCTTGGATGGTGGTGCTGCTCATCACAGACAATGTGGCTGATACTTCAGAGAAACCCGTCCTTGTCCCCTGTTCTCCAAGTGCCTGAGTTGGCTGCAGGCCGGGACCTTTGCCTCGTGCTCTGGGTTCTAAGCTTGGCCATTGTACAGATGGATGGCCAGGTCTACTCCCCGACTGTCAACACGCACTATGGGAAGTTACGAGGGGTCCGGGTTCCGCTGCCTAGCGAGATTCTGGGTCCTGTGGATCAATACCTGGGGGTCCCTTATGCAGCCCCTCCTGTTGGGGAGAAGAGGTTCATGCCCCCTGAGCCACCCTCCTCCTGGTCTGGAATAAGGAATGCTACCCACTTCTCACCAGTCTGCCCTCAGAACATCCACAGTGCAGTCCCAGAGATCATGCTGCCCGTCTGGTTCACGTCCAATCTGGATATAGTTGCCACATACATTCAGGATCCCAATGAGGACTGCCTGTACCTCAACATTTACATTCCCACCGAGGATGGTGAGTCCGTCCAGGGTGCCCGCAGGAGACGTGCACTCTCTGGGTGGGTGGGGGGTCCCAGAGTTATTCTGCTCCTTCTCAGCTCTGGTTGGTCTCACTTGGATGTTGTGTTTGAAGCATGTGCTTGTGGAACCCGCAGCATGCTGTCTGTCTGTGGAAAAGCTTTTTCTGGCCACTCAGCTTGCCCTCTGCCCTCCAGCTGTTTTTCCTCTCTCTCTCTGTCTCTTGGGCTCTCTCTTCTCCCCTCCCCTCCACAGCTCTCTCCCTCCCCCTCCATGGCATTGTCACGGGTTCCTCTTTTGTGTTGCCAAAACTGAAAGGGACTCTCTGACCGCAGGTCCACAGAGTGACGAGCTGGTTTGGGTTCCCGAGGTGCCGAGTGCCAGGTTCTGTCTTGAGTTTGGTTTGGGTTTGTCTTCCCTCGCCCACCCTCCCCACCCTCAGGTTCTTGCGCTAGTTCTGGGGTGTGGGTTGCTGCTGCTGGCTGGGAGGAACACTCTCTCTCTTGCTGGGATGGGGTCACCAGCCATTCTTGACTGGGAAGGGACCAAGGAGAGCTGGGCTGGCTCCTCTCCCTGGCGCCATGCTCTGCTGGGGGTCAGGGGAGATGTCCGCATGCACGGCACAATGCAGCTAGCATATGTGCTTCACCGGGACCAGCCAGGGGCTGAGTGCGTGGAGTTGGGTGGGAGCTGGAGCACTGTGGACCCAGCCCCTTGTGGTGAGGCTGAGTGCCTCAGGGTGCCTCTTCTTTCTCTAATCTTTTTCTTTTATAGGGGATTCCATCTGAATTGTAAGTAGCAGTGCCAAGGAGGCAGCACCCTTTCCTCAGGCCCATGGCAGCCTCACCACAAGGGGGAGCTGTGGGATCCCATGGGCTGTGCCAGCTGCAAGAATCTCTCGATAACACAAGAGCCTATGATGGAAGAGAACTGGAGGGGAACCTGCCATGCCCTCCCTGAGCAGTTTTCTGGGAAGACAGCTGTTCTGGAGCCCCAGCAGCTCTGCTTCTCTTCCCTTGGGGGTTCCAGGCTGCAGGGGACAGCACCGTAACTTCCTTCCATCCCAGTACACCTGGCCCCAGAGTTTTCCTCCCACAGCGATGCTCCCCTCCCCATGTCCCGCGGTCCCAAGAGAGGGTGGCGGGAGGGTGGGCAGTGTGGTTGTAATTGCATGCCCACTCCAGCCAGTGGAGCCTCCTGTTATTTTGTAGTCTTTTATTCATTTTACAGTAAAACGGATTTCCAAGGAATGCGCCCGAAAGCCCAACAAGAAAATATGTAGGAAAGGAGGTATGTAGCAAGCCGGACCTGACAGAGAGGCACAGAGAGAGGACAGAGAGAGAGAGAGAGAGAGAGAGAGAGAGAGAGG